CAGAAGTCAAATGTGGCTAACTTCAGTTTCATAACACTGATTATAACAATTCTATGTTCCATCTCCTGTACTCAACTTAAAACTAAAAAAGTGTTGGAAATACTCAGCAAATCTCCAGCAGCGTATATGGAAGAAAAACAGACTTGACATTTTAGGTCGGTGACCTTAATCAAAAGCTAATCAAACTGAAATGTTAACTTTTTTCCTCTTTTCATAGATCCTGCTGAGAATTTCAGCATTTTCTGTTTTTACTTCAGATTTTTCAGTGTACACAGCATTTTACTCCGTACTTGACACCCTTCTTTACCAATCTTAAAATAGTGAATCTCCTCTCAACTTTTTTTTTTCATTCACTCGTGGGACATGGGCATTGCTGGCTGGCCAGTATTTATTTCCCTTCCCTAGTTGCCCTTGAGAAGGTGATGGTGAGCTGCCTTCTTGAATTGCTGCAGTCCACGTGCTGTCGGTTGACCCACAATGCCCTTAGGGAGGGAATTCCAGGATTTTGATGCAGCAACAGTGAAGGAATATTTCCAAGTCAGGATGGTGTGGCTTGGAGGAGAACTTGCAGGTGTGGTGTTCCTTTTGTATTTGCTGCTCTTGTCCTTCTAGATGGAAGTGGTTGTGCGTTTGGAAGGTGATGTTCAAGGATCTTTGGTGAATTTCTGTAGTACATCTTGCAGGTAGTACACACTGCTGCTACTGAGCAGTGTTGGACGGAGTGGATATGGTACCAATCAAGCAGGTTGTCATGGTTGGTGTAAAGCTTCTTGGATGTTGTTGGAGCGGCACCCATCCAGGCAAGTACGGAGTATTCCATCACACTCCTGACTTGAGTCTTGTATATGGTGGACAGGCTTTGAGGAGTGAGGAGGTGAGTTACTTGCCATAGTATTCCTAGCCTCTCACCTGTTCTTGTAGCCACAGCGTTTATGTGGCAAGTCCATTTGAGTTTCTGGTTAATGGCAACCCCAAGGATGTTGATCATGTAGGATTCAGTGATGGTAACACCATTGAATGTCAAGGGGTGACGATGAGATTGTCTCTTACTGGAGATGGTCATTGCCTGGCATTTATGTGGCACAAATGTTACTTACCACTTCTCAGCCCAAGCCTGGATATTATCCAGATATTGTTGCATTTGAATGTGGAGTACTTCAGTATCTGAGGAGTGATGAATGGTGCTGAACATTGTACAATCATCAGCGAACATCCCCTCTTGTGACCTTATGATGGAGGGAAGGTCATTGATGAAGCAGCTGAAGATGATTGGTCCTGGGATACTGCCCTGAGGAACTCCTACAGAGATGCCCTGGAGCTGACATGACTGATGTCCAACAATCACAACCATCTTCTTATATGCCAGGTATGACTCCAACCATTGGAGAGTTTGCCCATTGATTCCCATTTTGCTATGGCTCCTTGATGCCACACACGGCTGAATGCAGCCTTGATGTGAAGGGCTGTCACTCTCCCCTTACCTCTTGAATTCACCTCTTTTGTCAGTGTTTGAACCAAGGCTGTAATAAGATCCAGGAGTTGAATGCCCTGACAGAACCCAAACTGGGTGTCACTGAGCAAGTTATTGCTGAGCAAGTGCTGCTTGATAACACTATTAATGGTACCTTCCATCACTTTACCGATGATTGAAATTAGACTGATGGGACAGTAATAGGCTGGGTTGGATTTGTCCTGCTTTTCCACATTGTCAGGTAGATGTTAGTGTTGTAACTGTACTGGAAGAGCTTGGCTAGGGGAGTGGCAAGTTTTGAAGCACAAGTCTTCAGTACTAGTGCTGGAATACTGTGAGGGCCATAGCCTTTGCAGTATCCAGTGCCTCCAACTACTTCTTGATATCACATGAAATGAATCGAAATGGCTAAAGACTGGTATCTGCAATGCTTGGGACCGCTGGACGAGGCCGAGATGGATCATCCACTCACCACTTCTGGCTGAAGATTGTTGCGACTGTTTCAGCCTTATATTTTGCACTGATGTGTTGGGCTTTTCCATTGATTAGGATAGGGATATTTGTGGAGCTCCTCCTCCAATGAGTTGTTTAATTGTCCACCACCATTCACAACTGGATGTAGCAGGACTGCAGAGCTTAGATCCAGTTCATTGGTTGTGAGATCACTTACTCTGTCTATCACTCGGTGTCTATGCTGTTTGGCACACAAGTAGCCCTGTTTGGTGGCTTCACCAGGTTGGCACCTCATTTTTAGGTATGTCTGGTGCTGCTGTTGGCATGCTCTCCTGTACTCCCCATTGAGCCAGGGCTGGCACTTGGCTTGATGGTAATGGTTGAGTGGGGGATATGCTGGACCGTGAGGTTGCAGGTAGTGCTGGAGTACAATTCTGCTGCTGTTGATAGCCCACTGAACCTCATGAATGCCCAGCCTTGAGTTGCTGGATCTGTTTCATGACTTTCCCATTTAGCATGATGATAGTGCCACACAACATGGTGAAGGCAGGACTTCGTCTCCACAAAGACTGCAGTGGCCATTCTTACTGATACTGTATTGGACAGATGCATCTGCAGCTGGCAGATTGGTAAGGATAATTTTTCCTTATTTTTGGTTCCCTCACCACCTGCCACAGACCCAGTCTGGCAGCTATGTCCTTTAGGACCCGACCAACTCAATCAGTAATGCCTGTGCCTCCCCGTGCCGCCACCTGTGATGGGTCTGTCCGGTCAGTGGGACAGAACATATCCATGGATCGTAATGATAGTGTCTGGGATATTGTCATACTTATGGAATCATACCTGATAGACAATATCAGGCTGTTGCTCAACTTGTCTGAGAGACAGCTCTACCAGTTTTGGTACAAGTCACGAGATGTCAGTAAGAAGGACATTGCAGGGCCAGCAGGGCTATTTCTGCAATTTTTTTTTTTTTAAAAGTACAACTTGCTAGACCATTTCAGAGGGTGTTTAAACATCAACCACATTGCTGTGGGTCTGGATTCAAAAATAAGCCCAACCAGGTGAGGATGGCAAATTTCCTTCTCGGAAGGATGTTAGTGGGTGAGCCAGATGGATTTTTCTGACAAACAACAATAGTTTCGTGGTCATCAGTAGATACTTAATTCCGGATTTCTTTTATTGAATTGCTATGGTGAGATTTGAACCTGGGTCCTAAGAACAATAGCTGAGTTTCTGGATTAGTAGTCTAGCAATAATACCATTAGGCCATCATCTTCCCATCAAACTACAGAAAAAAAACAATGACATAGCGTCCGAAAGTCCAAGTTCTGAGTTGTGGTTTGAGTCTAACTTGCCAACATTTACTTCAAGAAACCAGGCCAACTATTTCCCACAGCCTACAATGTGCAAAACATGGTACTTTTCTCATAAATTTACAACAGAATGATGATTTCCTTAACCAGCACAAAATATCCAGTTTCATTGGTTGAGCTTGCCAATAATTAAAAATACTTCACTCTCTTAAATGGTCTATAACTCATAATGAGCAATGACAGTCAAGGTACACAGTAATCAGGACTCCAGGTAATTATTAAGTGCCAAATACAAAAGTATGATTTTGCTAATTAAAATGATTGTAAGGATATGAATTATGTAACCAGTTCTTCGTGATTATTTGTTTACATCTGCACATATTCTTCTGATAGGTACCAACATGTAGCTACCATGCAGTGTGGTGATCTTAGACTGATTTATAATGGAAGCAATGGAGCTCCAACTGTAAACGAAGTACATGTGAATGAGTTTGAGAATTTTCTGGGCCAGGTGTCTCTGGCTGGGCCTCCCTTCAATGTGCATACACCCAGTGCTGACACACAGCTGCTCTTGCTCCTGCCCAAATGTCCATCGTGCTCAGGTTAGTCTGTCAGATCATGAAGTATTACATTAAATGCCATTTCACAAGAGGTTGTGTTTCCATTTAATTGACTATTGATTTTCATTGAAAGTACACTCAGTACTAATGGAGTTTATATAAGATGAATATGGAATGATATGTCCTGAGTTTTAATAATGATGCTGCAAGTTTCTCCCATAATTACAATAATTAAAAGGACAAATCAAATTCATTCCACAATCATATTAGATTACAGCTGCTTTTTAGCTCAGTTTAGATTGTGAGAGACTTATGTCCATGAACCAGTCTGTGTCTACTACAACTTATCCAGATCACAGATCTATTGCTTTTCTAGGCTACCTACCCAAATTTGCACAAAGTATTTGCAACTCAGACCCAATATCTTGTATAAATTTATAACAGTCTCTTCGACGACTTTCAAGAATTAATATTTTTATGGCATTATCTACTTGCAGTATCACCAGTGAGCTATGTGTTTCCACATCAAGGTCTTTTTGATTTTCTACTGCATCTAGAATCTTAGCATTTAAGAAGCATTTCACTCCCCTTTGCAAGCAACTTGTATTTCACATTTTTGTACATTGATCTGCATCTGCCACCCTGTTTTGCTCATTTTTCTGCTCTATTTCATCTTTTGGCTTTTTACAATTTGTCATGATTTTCCATACTATCACCAGACAAATGTTTAAACTGCATGTGGTGAACATTTAAACTGTGCAAAGTGAACATTTATAAAATGCAAAGTATTGCATTAATTGCTCAAATTGACTGCTCAAAACCCTTGGGTTTTTGCCCTGTAATCATCTCTTGTAATTTATAAGGCTACGCCTGAGACGAAGTATAAGCTTGAACCTAGAATACCTTCACCCTGAAGTTAGGGATCTGCAAGTTGTGTTAGAAATTCTCAACTCATGGCCATTCCCATTCCATTTCATTTCCTAGTGCAATCAGCAGTTGGATTGATTATATGACTCTCTGTTTACTTTCCAACTTTAACATTCAAAGATCTCAAAATTTGTCAGAACAGACCAAAATAATTGCCCAAATAGGGACAAACCTAAAACTATACTTATCTTAAGGTGTCTGAGACTAACAGTAAATTACGCAATGAGCTTAATGTCGTCTCTTCTAGTTACAGGAATGGACATCAATGCAGAGTTAAAAAAGAACCTTGCACTTTTCCTAATAGGGAAATATCCAGGTCAGAAAATACACCTGAAAACTTTTATTCAGAAAATTTCAGCAGTTGCTCAGTGAAGAAGAGCAGAAGGTAAACTGGTCCCTTAATCAAACTTTAAAGTAAGGATTTATCTGAAAACCCTCAGGCTTACACTGCTGTTGTTTTATTGTTTCGTAATTTGGTGTGCTAGGAGGGAATTATAACTCATGTCATCCACTAGAAACAGAATGAATGCACAGTTAAAACTGAACAGGAGTCATGTTTGGCCTGTCCAAAAATGCTGGTCTTCCATTGCACAGCATTGTCAATGACTGAGTAAATCAGACGTGCAAATTTCATGGTCCTAGGCAATTCATAATGCTATGGGCAACAGCCACAAAGGTACAATGAGCAAAGGCAACAGTTTAAGGCCCCCTTGCCATAGATGGTACACTCAGATTTTGGAAACCATGTAAAACCAAACTGTATATTTGACATAAAATTAATATTGTAAATACAAGCTGTAATTGCTAAGCACTTCATAGTTTGACTTATTTATTGAAAGAAACTGATTGTGTTTGTTTTTTATCTAAGTCAATTTTGAACTGTTATGTGCTTTGATAAGTTTTATAAACAGAGTGTAATTTTGAGGGGAAAAGATCAAAATCAAACTTTTAAACATTTGCCTGCAATAGAAATACATTCCCACACCAGTGGTGCAACTGCAGCTCCAAGTTGCTTGGTCATTTCCTCACATCAAATGATATAACGTGAGAATTGTATTTGCGTTGTAGAAGATTTCTGTAGTGTGCAAGGAAGTCTTGTTACTTTGGTAATTAAATCTAAAAAAATTTCTGTTAATGAAAATGCCATGGAAAAGACAGTGTTATAAAAAAAAGTCAAAAGCTTCAGCACACTCAATACATATTATGTATACTTTTATTTCTCAAATCATGGAGTAATATTGAAAGTATTAAATTATTGGCACTCCTATTTCAGCTTCTTCATACTTACCTGGTGCTGGAGGAGGCTGGTGCAATTGTTAACCTCACTGTAACAAAAGGAAAGCAACACTTACATCTACTGTGGGATGTCATGCAGGAATGTGGGGCATTGATTAGAGCCTGGCCTACAAGATATCAGGATCTGCTACAAAACATGCGAAGTAATATTCCTTTTGAAGGTTATTGAGTTGCATTTTGTTGTTAATCTTTGAACTTACTTTACAAATTAAGTTATTTCCTCCGCAGTTCGAGTTGCACAAATTAGAGATGGAAATCTTGAGCTGTTTGTCCCTCAGGCCGACAGTGGGTCACATGTCTGGATTCTGCTTCACTCCCACTCTCCAGTCGCTGTGGTGGAAAAGCTCTGGAATTACTTCACTGACTGTGAGGCCTACTGTTTATTGTACAAACCAGTGGGACAATTATATATAAAGAATAAAATCAAGATGTATGTGTATTTGATTCCCAACTGTGACACTTTGGTTCAGGTAAATTATCTTGGCTGATTCTCAATTCTTCAAAAATTCTAAGCAAACTGTTGAAACTATATATTGCATTCTACCCCTCTTACTCCAAACCACAATCTATTCTCAATTCTTTTATCAGGCATTGAACAGAGAGCATGACAGCTACAAACAAGTGTTTAAAACAAAACTGTTGGTACACAAGAATGCTCATACAAACTGCAGTTTAGAAATACAAATGTAACCAAAGTTGTCTCTGTCACCCCTGCAGTAGGTTTGGTGCTGTTTTAAATGAGATTTTGTAATTGTAAATCTGTCTCCTGAAAATTGTTATTTCAAACAATCGTTGGAGAGCTCACTAAGTTTACTGCTGTAGAGTTCAGTTTCTATTAAAATAGGTGACTTCCAAGATAGTGTGTTGCTGCTGAATGTTATGATCCCAGCTGATGTTATTAATATGGACTGTCAGATTCAAGAGTAAAATCTGGCTAGTTAGTTTTTAAAAAAAAGTTAGAATCTATGGGACATGTTACTGAACACAAAAGGCTGCCGGTATACTTTTATTCTGTGTGAAAGAGTTTATTAAACAAGGAAAAAATGAACTATATTACACAATGCAAACAAAAGATTGAAAGATTTCATTATAGACATCAGAAAAAGATTCAACTGCACATTGAAAGAGTATTCTTGGGATAAAACTTTTAAACCCCAGTGAAGATTCACCACTATTTTCACACAAAAGGCTCCTGCTCACTCTAAGGCTGAGAGAGCTGCAACCAGTTACTTTACAGCAAATTTCTTTGTAGTCACTAGATGCTTTATCACTTGATTGGGCGCCCCATTCCTCAAGACACCTAAAATAAATGACAACTTTAAACTTCAGAGCAAACACATTAGTTTACTAAACTCACTGGCCAGCTGCCTTATCTTCACCTTTGGCACATCTACATACAGACTAATTGACTTTTTCTGTGGCACTGGACTTCTGTCACTAAGCATCAGCTGTTTTTAAATTTTTTTTAAATGCACTGGATTGTTTACGTCAAGGGTTTAAAGCCTCAATTAAAATGCATGTAAACTAGACTCCAGACACATTGTTCTAAACAGTCCATCCTATGTCCCCACCCCCACTTCCCCACCCCACATCAACCTACCAGCAGCGATCTGCTAATGTGGAAACAGCATAAATTAAGTCCTGAACCAAAAATTGAAAAGTTATGCAGCTATAGTGGAAATGAATTGGAATCACTTGTCTTGATGCCGGCAGTAGATTCACTGAAACACACTTCAGCGAGGCATCTACTGAGTGTATCAGGGCAGGACTGACTGAAAAAAACATCTGCTGCAGCATTCTTCTAACAGCTCAGAGACATTTCTCTTTTCCAACCTACCAGCAGAACCTGTTGACTATCTACTTAAAAGTTTTGTTCATTTTGCACAATTAATATCTTCCTAGTTATGACTAGAAATTCTTTTATGACAAGAACAGCTTTAAAAAAAGTTTTGAGTCTTCAGCCTTGAAAAGGAGATGAGTAGGACCTATATGTGACAACCTGGTACATAAGATTTGCTGAGTGTAGGAATTGGGATTGATGTCATTGTAGAGTTCAGGATGTCACTCCCTAACCCTGGCCCAGAAGACCCAGGTTCAAGTCCCACCTGCTCCAAAGTGTGTAATAACACCTCTGAACAAATTAATTAGAAAAATAGTTTAAACAAAAAAACACACAGGTCCCCTCTCTAAAGCTGAGCTTGGAAGCTTTGAGCAGGTTTTCTCCTTGGGCCCATTTATGCCTTAATTTACTGTCTCGAATGGTGTAAAGTGTAGTTTGAGGACAATGATGATGGTCATGCAAATTCTGAATATTCGCGATTCAGCACTTCTGTAAATGAATTGGCACGAGGAAAAGTGTGAATTTCTGCAGTGTTGGAGTTTTGAGTTAAATTCCCCAATCTGGCAGAAACCAAGTGAAGCAGTTAAAATGAGGAAGAATTTAATTGCTTGTTTTGCGTTGCTTTTGCTGGTGTGGACGAACAGTATAGCAACGAGCAGCTATTTTTAAGCAAGCTCCGAGTTCTGGAGATCCTTAGCCAGGAAGAGGAATGTTTTCTTCGTCCCCCAGCATCCTTCCAGGATATCTTCTGTTCTTTTAACTCTTGCTTGAATGCCGGGAACAAATTCAGCCGTCGCCTCCTGTTGGTGATTTTCTGCTCCTGCCTGCCAGCTAGTTGTACTTTAGCCAGGTTCAGGCAGCAGTTTGATTAAAGTTATTGAATCCTGGATGTTAAGATCAGCTGCGCCGCAGCTCACATGGCCAGGCTTGTAACTTAAGTCCCGCCTGTACCTCTCATAAAACTGAGGTAACACCATTCCTTCCCATTGCGCTCTTTGCGACTACGTTGCTTTTCAACTCAACTTCTCTAAGTTACGTTTGCAGGATGCCGCAGTGTTCAAGCATTCACTATGTCCCCATGAGTCAAAGACAAAATACGTCCTGCAGCTGGACGGACATTTCGATGACTGGCCGTTGGTGTTTCAACTGGTACAGGAAGATAAAAGCCGTGTGGTGTTAAATGAGCTCATAACTGAGGAACAACTGCGACACGAAAATGAAGGTTTGAATCCATGTTTTGTATTCATTTCAGGAAGAGGTTTCACTCTGATGGAATAGCCTAGAAACAGGAGTGCTGAACTTACAGCAACAACAACGGGATTGTTCAAACCCGTCCCTATGGAAAAATCCACAAGCCTAGCAGCAGCTGAGGAACCCCTTAACTGTCATTGGGGAGCGGATAACTGTTAACTTTTACCAGCCATGGTAATTGGTGAATACTAGGAACTAGAAATCAGCCAGAAAATAAGGTGCCAATGCTTGATTCCTAACTGCATTTTCGCATGAGGTTCCCGTCTACCTGTGGAAGGTGCTCTTACACAAAGCCTGCCAGAGGGAAAAAAAACACTAGCGAGCTGCATCATTTCAACTTGACTCCATCCTGGTTTGATGAAAATCACCCGGCTATGAATCGGAGTTTCCCCTTTTAGGCTATGAGCACGAGACAGATGTGATAGATTAGTGCTGTTGCCGTCTTGGCTATTGATTCCATATGAAAAGATGAGCAGTTTAAATTTCGTTACTTCAGGTGGAGGTGGGTTGTGTGGTGGATAATTCAGAGAAAACAGCTAAGAGGATTGAAATATGTAGGTTACAGTTCTTGTGAGAATCTGACGTGGATGATTCTATACTTTGTTGTGTTCCTTGGTAGTAGTAGAGGATAAACTATAATTTACTTTCATAATAGTTTAAAGGGAAGTGAAATAAGTTTTAGTATTTACTACCCAAAAATAATACTAACATCTTGAACTATTTTTCACAGAATACATCTTGGTTACAGTGAACGGAAAACAATATTGCATCCTTAGAATTCACAATCACATCACCTACCAGCAATTTGCATCCGAAATGGAAGAGACATTCCCAGGAAAGACATTCAATATATATTATAAACAAAAAGGTGATGTAACTACAGAATATATCTCAGACTAACGGCTTGGAGTAGCCATCAGCTAATGAGAAGTACTTAATTGTTTTGCAGGCAATGCTCCATTGCTGATTAATGGACAGAACAGTATAGAATATCTCCTCAAACAGTGCGAGACCGGAGACATTATCCTGCAAGCTGAAGGTAAAAGCTGCTATCCCAAGGCCATCCTGGTACAATATACCATCTCCATACTTGGAGGTGTTATTACTTCTCATGTCTCCATAACCTGATTTTCACGTCATGTCATTGCTCTCTAAATTTCAGGTTAATTTAATGTGTTTTGCTGTTTATATGAAACAAATGAGATTCAGAATTTACAGCGAAATAACGATGAATCAAATTCAGATAACCTGAAATTCCAGTCCTGTAGAAATTGTCAGTTAATTTCACCGTCAGAATAGCAAATCTAACAATGATACCACGATAAACCAAAGGTCCAGCCTGGTAACCTAAGTTAGCCACATTTCTGTAAACTTGGCACATGGTCACAGCAAAGACACATTTCAGTGAGGAAGGAGGATTCTAGGCAGAAGATAAGCCAAACATGGTCAACCAAGGAAGTTCAGGATAGCATCAGATTAGAAAGTTTCACAAATATAAACAAAAGATGAGTTAAAAAAAATCTTGAAGATAACGTCAAGACTTCTTTAAATATATGAGAGAAGCCAAAATCCCCTAACGTAAAATTGAAAAAGCATGTGGAAAACCGTAGTGTGAAGTCAGAAGTGGAAATTGCTAAGGAATGACACATTACAGAGTTTGTCAAGCACACAGCGAACATTTTGGAATGCTTCAACAAGTAGGCAATCTGTCTAGTAAAAGGCTGAGAACAGTTGTTTATCCACATTGAAGCCTCGCTAATATGCTTCAGAATTGGAGCAGAGAACATTCACATCTCGAGTCGAAACCTGCAGGTAAGACCATGAGGAGTTCACCTACAACACAGGATGGATGGACTGATTCAAAAGGACAATCTTGTCTTCTGTGCAGTGAGGAAGCGACTGCAAAATAGTCTTGTCCTCGTCCTGAATGAGTACGCACCAAGGGACATGATTACAGCAGATAATATCGAATTGCTTTATCGTCTTTTATCTGACCACTCTGATGTTTAAAGATGAAACGCGTAATGGCGGAAAGCAAAACGAGGAATGTATCACTGCTATGATCTACATCAACATGGGTTTCGAAAATCTGCGTGTATTGTGAAAGAACAGGAAGCCACACCTCTTTGCAAATGTCAAGACACTATCTACACAGTACTAGACTAAAAATCACCTCCAATATTTTTGGAGCATGGATCAGGAAACTGAACAAAATGTACTATCAAAAGGAAAGATTATCATCACAAACAACTGCCCCACGCTCCTAACGTTTGTCAATTTCTTGCTGTACAATGCTAGGCGATAAGAAGGTATGAACAAATTGTAAAACAGACATTTTCACATTTAAAAATACAAAGAGTTAAGCAGTAAATTTGCTGTTTGATAGT